GTTAAGCATGGTGCACTAAACTATCAAGTAGTCATCATATTGAGCTAGCCAAACGTTCATAACGTCTGCATCTGCTCCTGCAATAGGTTTGTCACCTAGCGGTGCATCAAGGACATACTTCTTCTGTGCAGCAATGAGGATAAACCTCAGATCACGGATCCAATCCGCATCATTGCTACTAACATCTTTCAACACAGTTTTCTCTAGGAACATATCAAAATAAACATATGAAAGCAACAACGCGAGCTATTGATCTACAACATAATTTGCAAAATACTACCAGGACTAAGTTCATGATAAATTTAAGTTCAATTAATCATATTACTTAAGAACTCCCACTTAGATAGACATCCCTCTAGTCCTCTAAGTGATTACGTGATCCATATCAACTAAACCATGTCCGATCATCACGTGAGATGGAGTAGTTTCAATGGTGAACATCACTATGTTGATCATATCTACTATATGATTCACGTTCGACCTTTCGGTCTCCGTGTTCCGAGGCCATATCTGTATATGCTAGGCTCGTCAAGTTTAACCTGAGTATTCCGTGTGTGCAACTGTTTTGCACCCGTTGTATTTGAATGTAGAGCTTATCACAAACGATCATCACGTGGTGTCTCAGCACGAAGAACTTTCACAACGGTGCATACTCAGGGAGAGCACTTCTTGATAATTTTAGTGAGAGATCATCTTAAAATGCTACCGTCAATCAAAGCAAGATAAGATGCATACAGGATAAACATCACATGCAATCAATATAAGTGATATGATATGGCCATCATCATCTTGTGCTTGTGATCTCCATCTCCGAAGCACCGTCATGATCACCATCGTCACCGGCGCGACACCTTGATCTCCATCGTAGCATCGTTGTCGTTACGCCATCTATTGCTACTACGACTATCGCTACCGCTTAGTGATAAAGTAAAGCAATTACAGGGTGTTTGCATTTCATACAATAAAGTGACAACCATATGGCTCCTGCCAGTTGCCGATAACTTCGGTTACAAAACATGATCATCTCATACAATAAAATATAGTATCACGTCTTCACCATATCACATCACAACATGCCCTGCAAAAACAAGTTAGAGGTCCTCTACTTTGTTGTTGCAAATTTTACGTGGCTGCTACGGGCTTAGCAAGAACCGTTCTTACCTACGCATCAAAACCACAACGATAGTTCGTTAAGTTGGTGTTGTTTTAACCTTCGCAAGGACCGGGCGTAGCCACACTCGATTCAGCTAAAGTGAGAGAGACAGACACCCGCCAGCCACCTTTAAGCACGAGTGCTCGTAACGGTGAAACCAGTCTCGCGTAAGCGTACGCGTAATGTCGGTCCGGGCCGCTTCATCTCACAATACCGCCGAACCAAAGTATGACATGCTGGTAAGCAGTATGACTTGTATCGCCCACAACTCACTTGTGTTCTACTCGTGCATATGACATCTACGCATAAAATCAGGCTCGGATGCCACTATTGGGGAACGTAGTAATTTCAAAAAAATTCCTACGCACACGCAAGATCATGGTGATGGCATAGCAACGAGAGGGGAGAGTATTGTCCACGTACCCTCGTAGACCGTAAGCGGAAGCGTTATGACAACGCGGTTGATGTAGTCGTACGTCTTCACGATCCGACCGATCCAAGTACCGAACGTACGGCACCTCCGAGTTCAGCACACGTTCAGCTCGATGACGATCCCTGAGCTCCGATCCAGCAAAGCGTCGGGGATGAGTTCCGTCAGCACGACGGCGTGGTGACGATGATGATGTTCTACCGGCGCAGGGCTTCGCCTAAACTCCGCGACGATATGACCGAGGTGGAATATGGTGGAGGGGGGCACTGCACACGGCTAAGGAACGATCCGTAGATCAACTTGTGTGTCATGGGGTGCCCCCCTGCCCCCGTATATAAAGGAGCAAGGGGGAGGAGGTGGCCGGCCAAGGGAGGGCGCGCCAGGGAGGAGTCCTACTCCCACCGGGCGTAGGACTCCCTCCTTTCCTAGTCCAACTAGGAGAGGGGAAGGAAGGGAAGGAGAAGGAGAAGGAAGGAGAGGGAGGAAGAGTAGGAAAGGGGGGCCGACCCCCTAGTCCAATTCGGTTTGGGCTAGGGGGGGCGCGCGCCCTGCCTCCTCTCTTCCACCACTTGGCCCATGAGGCCCATTGCTTCTTCCTCGTATTCCCGTAACTCCCCGGTACCCCCGAAAATACCCGAATCACTCGGAACCCTTCCGATGTCCGAATATAGTCGTCCAATATATCGATCTTTACGTCTCGACCATTTCGAGACTCCTCGTCATGTCCCCGATCTCATCCGGGACTCCCAACTCCTTCGGTACATCAAAACTCATAAACTCATAATAAAACTGTCATCGTAATGTTAAGCGTGCGGACCCTACGGGTTCGAGAACTATGTAGACATGATCTAGAACTATTCTTGGTCAATAACCAATAGCGGAACCTGGATGCCCATATTGGCTCCTACATATTCTACGAAGATCTTTGTCGGTCAAATCGCATAACAATATACGTTGTTCCCTTTGTCATCGGTATGTTACTTGCCCGAGATTCGATCGTCGGTATCCAATACCTAGTTCAATCTCATTACCGGCAAGTCTCTTTACTCGTTACGTAATGCATCATTCCGTAACTAACTCATTAGCTACATTGTTTGCAAGGCTTATAGTGATGTGCATTACCGAGAGGGCCCAGAGATACCTCTCCGACAATTGGAGTGACAAAACCTAATCTCGAAATATGCCAACCCAACGTGTACCTTTGGAGACACCTGTAGTACTCTTTTATAATCACCCAGTTACGTTGTGACGTTTGGTAGCACCCAAAGTGTTCCTCCGGTAAACGGGAGTTGCATAATCTCATAGTTACAGGAACATGTATAAGTCATGAAGAAAGCAATAGCAACATACTAAACGATCAAGTGCTAGGCTAACGGAATGGATCGTGTCAATCACATCATTCTCCTAATGATGTGATCCCGTTAATCAAATGACAACTCTTTTGTCCATGGCTAGGAAACATAACCATCTTTGATAAACGAGCTAGTCAAGTAGAGGCATACTAGTGACACTATGTTTGTCTATGTATTCACACATGTATTATGTTTCCGGTTAATACAATTCTAGCATGAATAATAAACATTTATCATGATATAAGGAAATAAATAATAACTTTATTATTGCCTCTAGGGCATATTTCCTTCACTGCCAGCATATTCAATGTGCTGACCTACATGGCTGCAACGTCTCATGTTGCAGACTTTACGAACGAAGAATAAGGTGCGATAGGTCGTTGTCATGCACTCAGCTATGCCGTTGGAGTTGATGGACTCATTTACCTTCGAAGCTTCCGCAGTTATTTAGTTTAGATGGGCTTCTGCCATTTTATTTATGTAACAAATACTCTTTTTGAGGACCTCGATGTAATAAGTGTGTGATTGAACTCTGTTATAATTCCTCGAGTACTGTGTGTGTCAGCATACCGATCCAGGGATGACACTTAAGCACAGAGACTTCGGTCCATTGAGATCGTGGTCGCTACATGGCGAGAGGCGGACCATATATTTTAACACCCCCCCCCCCCTCCGGTCCCACATGTAGGACGTGGGATTAGAATCTTTTTTTAATATTGCGTTGGCCTGGTCTTAAACTTGAGGCCTCTTGGCTCTAATATCATATTGAATTCAGCTTCAACCAATTATTTAGAAGTCTAAATTAATGGAGAGAGGCTTGCAATATATTTCAACAAGGCGGAGTGCAAGGAGCTCAACACGCCATATAGGTCAGAGGAGGTGGTTGATGTACTATGAACCCTCACCGAAGGTACCTAAAATGGAATGCAAGGATATGTATGCACACACAATGATGCGGAGGGTAGGTGTATGCACACACAATGATGCGGAGGGTAGACTTGTCCAAAACGGCGCGTGATTGTGAACTGTCTTTGTTAACGTGATGCAAAAGAGGGTTGCACACGGTTTTGCCAAGCTTGGCATTGGTTGTCAAGATCCCACCACGGTTATCTCGGAGCAAAGACGTTCCAGCCTTGTGTTGCTGCAGTAAGTTGTAGTGGGCGACATGCCCTGGTCTATTTCGAACTAAAAGTAATGCTTTAGACCCTGTTTGTTTGGGTTTGTGCTTCTGATTTTGCAGCTTTTTCATTTTAGTAAAAAAAAGTCATAAAAACTCCTAAATAGAGATTTTTTGCTTAGACTTTTGACTTGTAAATTAATATTCTTATATGATATTATAAGCCAAAAGCCAAAGGGAAAAAGCACCTACTTATGAGATTTTTTGGATCTTTTGCCAAAGTGAAAAAGCTGAAGCCCAAACAAACAGGGCCTTGATCTCCAAAATGATATTCACACGTCAACATGTTTCTCTTCTTCACAGCAACCGTGGCACCACAATCCCACAAGGCGGAAAATCAAATGTCACACAAGTTACCTCAAAAGTTACACATACGTATTAAATACCGCAGGTACAAAAGCACTACAACGGAAGGATTTTCACCGTTTTTCTCGAACATGATAAGAGGACACACATATACACTCTCATGCATTAAATGTTGATATATGTATATAAATACACAGATCTCACGTAGTACATGCCATCCTTAAATTGGATGTAACGATTCAGAGGGGAAGTCCAGACATTGCCGCATGGATACTCACTTCCTATTTCTTTCTCATTTGAAAAGGAGGAATGCAACAAAAAAAAGGCAAGAAACAAAGAAAAATAAGAACCTGCACCATCCACTTGTACTGAACTCAGCTACCACAGATGTATACACTATGAGAGCAGCTCCAGGGAACAAATAAGTATGCAAAAAGAAGGGGTGTGATGGAATAAGCAAACGTGACGTAGTTCTGAAACCCTAATCAGGAACTAGCATTAATCAATTCCGAAGGCCTCGCTTCCACGTATATGATTTGATCTGATACTGCTCCACCCCCACCCCACATGTGTAGCAGGAAATTAATCACATTTGATGTTTCTGTAGATTCTCCTCACGAAAAGAGTTGATCCTAGGTAGCCAATAGCACCTGAATCACCAAAATAGATGTCAGAACATCAAAGTGGTCTTTAAACATTGCAATGTATAGCAATCATTAGTGCTGAAGAGTGCTTACCGCAAAGTATTCCCAGACCAAGACAAAACATCAATGTGTAGCCAAAGTAGAAACTTGTCTGGAAAAAGCCGGACATCTTTGTCTTCACATGATAGTAGTAGATGGAGTACAGGTACACATATAGCGCTGTTGATGCAGCGGAGAAAAACGAGGTCCATTGCCAATGATAGTTCTCAGCATTCAGCAAGAAATAAGTACCGACAATTGTGACACAGATTGTAACTATTAGAAGAATGACAAAGACCAGCAACATGAAGCCGTAAACATAATACACCTGCCAAGAACCAAATAACATTGCATAATCAGATGCTTATATAATGGAAATTGCAGGAAGGTGCTTCAGAATAAGGCATGGACAAATGTAATATGAAGCAAGGACAGTAAAATCCTTTCCGCACTATGATAAGTGGCTAACATGATTTTGATGGTTAAAAAATAGTATTTTGTACAAAATGTCTACAATGATTTCCTTGTTTACCTTGTAGTTCCAGAATGATGTGAACACAAAGTACATCTCGATGAAGATGCTGCCAAAGGGAAGCAGCCCACCCATCAATGAGATGACAGAAGGTGTAAGGTACCACTTCCTCTCGGGAATAGGCCGTGGAATAGTCTTTACTCGGCAGGGATTGTTAGGAGCCCCACTCCAGTTTCTACCAACGACCGTTCCCAAAAGCACCAGTGGAAAAGATATGAAAGCCCAAAGGACAAACATGACAACCATTGTACCAAATGGTATTGCCGCTAATGACCCATAGAAGATTGCAATTGTATTCAGTGCAAAGCCAATTGCAAAGTGCAAGAATGGAAAGAGGGATGCTGTAAGGATCATAGCCTTTATCCAGTTTTTACCTGCCATGGAATCAAGTCATGAAGTGAGAAAATCAAATATAAACTCTAGAATCTTCTACAAGAGAGTTAGATGCCATGATAACATGCTGAAACTAGAAAGAAAGAATCAGAAGAAAGACAAGACTGTCCAAACAAATACTGATAGTCTAAGAAAGAAACAAAATCCTGCAACTTATCAACAAGAAGTGAAGGACCATACCGCCATTCCTCGAGTACAGACCAGCACTAACATATCCAGAAATAAAAGATGTAAGAGCATAGCACACGATGAAGGTTGTGATGATAGCCCCTCGCCTGAGAAACATCGGCATGTAAGTTAGAGAATAGGAATCGCATGCTCAACATGCAAGAAAGAACCATGCTCCATGCTAAAAACAACGTAAGGCTTTTTGTAACACAGCATAGGTTGTTTGACATTTCAGGATTTGTTCAGTTCTCTGTACCCTACCTCCATGGGATCTGTGCATCTCAACAGAAGGACATAATACCGCCCCTCCAATTTGCAAAACTGAGTACTCCCTCCGTTCCAAATTACTCGTCGTGGTTTTAGTTCAAATTTGAATTAAAACCACGACGAGTAATTTGGAACGGAGGGAGTACCAAGGTAACTTTCAGATAACTAAAAGCAGGATTTATTTTCCTGAACTATTTTCGTGTGTCTAGAGGAGAAAGGAGAAATAGTACACTATGTTATACTCCCTCTGTCGGTCTGTCCCAAAATAAGTGACTCAACTTTGTACTAAAGTTAGTACAAAGTTGAGTCACTTATTTTGGGATGGGGGAGTAGTTTTTATCCAAAAGGTTCACGTCCAAGCAGAAAGAGAACAGGTAACTGCAACTGGCAGAAGGTTTAGGCGCCACTGTGGTGTTGCGGTAGGGCAAAACAGTATAACAAGAGGAAGGGAGGGGAGAGGCTAAGGGCGGGTCACGGGAAGCACCAAAGATATGGAAAAAGAGAGATTTGTAACCATTGACTTGAATGGATAAGCCATTGCCCTATCCTTTATGTATGACCAGCCTAACATGTATGTCCGAATTTATCTCATCATCCTAATTTAACTTGAATATTACCTTTTAATAAAGACCAAACCATCTACAACACTTCATGTGTTGCCACCGATGCATGTGGCCAACAACGGCGGTAGCGTTGGCCCACATGACACAAAATTAACTTTCTGTGCTTAAAGCCTTGCAGTCCCAAACAAGTTGGGGTAGGCTAGAGTTGAAACCCATAAGATATCGAAACCAAGTCATGGTTCTGGCACGTGGATAGCTAACTTCCACGCACCCCTGTCCATGGCTAGTTCTTTGGTGATACCCCAGTCCTTCGGATCTCTCTTTTACGGACTCCTCCCATGTCAAGTTTGGTCTACCCCAACCTCTCTTGACATTATCAAAGCGTTTTAACTGTCCGCTCTGCGTCGGCACTTCTGGGGGCCTGCGTTGTATATGCCCAAACCCTCTCAAGCAATGTGGACACCTTTACCCTGGCTTGGGAGCAGCTATGTTATTAATCCCTTATTTCAAGTTAAGTGAAACCCAAGGACAATAAATTCTAATGCCATCCCACATCCTCCAACTATCAGATGTTGCTCACTGTACTTAAGCGAGTACTTTACTTTACGCATGTGTGGAGTACTCCAGAACACTGCATTCAGGTTTTTAGATGTTCAAATAGGAATACAAAACAAAACAGTGAATACTATCTTGAACAGGTGTTATTTGCATTAAGGAACAGATCAGTCACAATTTTCAGTATCAGCGGTAAACAAAGAGAAATGCAATGGTAGAGACTAGAATCTTCTTCAGTCCATCAATAATGCTTCCCAATCAATATATTATATGTAATACATTTTTTTTATTTGCACATGTAATAGTTAAGAAGTCGGTGCTCATTTTTTCTCATTGATTTTTGAATAGTTTATTCAGGTAAAAATGAATTTAACTAGAAGAGATCAAAATTCAATCTAGCAGGTATGAGAATGTTGTCAGCATTTGAAAATAGACACGACACTACATTGCCACATTCCTATCCAGGGATCATCATTAGAAATGGTGGAAACAGGCAGATGCCAGCAATTAAAAACTTAAAGCAGCCAGAGGAAATTAAATCCCAGACACTTTTACATTGATCTTGAGCCAACTTTTTTGTTTAAGTTACTGTCAGTTACTGTATTTGCAGAATGATACTTCATAATCGCAAATTTGCAAATGATTGGCAGTCAAGATTCAGGTACAGGATCTGGAAGGCTCCTCGCGAGAAACAAAGTTATGTTCTGGTACTCCGGATGCTGGTCCAGCTCATTTTCAAATATTCTTGCCCTTCATTCATCTTTTTACGTATTATTAATAGGGTACGACCATGCCACTTTTTTAGCTTGCCATGTGTTCTGCATGCAAGGCAAGGCAGAAAGGAAATGAAAAGAATGTGTGTGATTTTGAGCATACCCAACATATAACATGCCAACGATGGCCAATACAATCACAAGTAGGATAAGAGCTGCCAGCTGGGTGCCGATACCAACAAGAGCAGAAAGAAGTGTCAAGCTTCTAGGAGGACGAAATACATCACCATGGACAAGTTTCCACCCAGATTCCTCATTAACATCTCTCTCCTAATAAAGCAAAGTCATGAGTACAGGAAACAGTTGAGTGGCAGTGGATAAAACCAAGAGAGTTAATTTGGTTGGAATATTATTCAAGTGCAGCAAAATAGGCACCAGAATTCAGATGCTCACCAGTGACTCTAGATCATCATCATCACGAGCATATTTTGCATAATCATTTCTCAGTGTTCGCATCAATATCATTGAAACCAAACCAGTGAGAAAAATAACCATCATGAAAGAATTGAAAATGGAGAACCAGTGAATCTGAACATGAAAATTTAGAAATAAATTAGAACTTTCCAATGGTTAGTTCAAAGGGGAGATGCAGTTCGCTATTGTTGAATTGAAGGGTTATTCCCATTAGCAGGGAGAGGGTTGTGTGCTACGCATACTGGATTCTTTTTCCAAAAAGCAATCATTACCATTTACCTGGTGTTCAAAGAAAGGATAGTCCAGGTAAACTTCAAAACGGCGTGCAAATGAAACATCTGTTGGTACCCACTTCACTGAATATGTCATGTCCAACTTCTTACCAGCGTCAAGGAGCTTAGGAGACTCTTGGGTGAGATTAACATGAATTATCTACAAAATCAAATCAGATCCACTTATATATTCATGTTCAAATATCTACAAAAATAAAATCAGTTCATTTATAACTTGTCAAATTATGTATTAATGTTCTGAATCAATGGAAGATGCATACCCTGTTATCGTTGTACTTTACAAGAATGTTCTTGTGCGTGTAAAGATAGTGCTTGTTTTCACTGTTTTTGTCAGTCTCTCCAACAAAACCTGTCAAAGCATATAACAACTGTCTTGTTAGGCAAAAGAAACAAAGATAAAGAATAGCAAAGAAAATACTAAGTTGACAGGAACATACCCCAAAGAGGCAGATCATCTAGGTGCATGGTGCCACAAGCAATGCAAAAACCAGTGAAAAATGTTAGAAACAAGAAATATGCCTAAAATCAGCATAATACAACAAAATGTAATGCATCACATATTAATCCATGTACCTATGAAAAATTCAAACCAGTACGAGCTTTCAATGGCATCAGCAAATTGTTGAGTCTTCTTGGGATCTAGTTCCAGTGTGCAAATGGATCCCCTTTCCACATTTCCTAAAGCAAAGGCAACATAACATTTATATAATTAATAAGACAAACAAATGCATACCAAAAGAAAAATGCATATGTCGACATTCAGTAAATCACAAATAAATACAAGGATGGTCTGAGATTAACAAGAACATACTTAAGAACTTTATGTCAAGCTGACTATCAATCAACTCATTCCCACCCAGGACTTCTCCAAGACCACCCCACTTATGCCCAGGGTTCTCAGATGGTTGACAAAATGGGAGGCTGTGATAATTGTAAGTTTCTTGAGGATTATTGTAAGGTCCAACTTTATTCACCCAGAGCTTAACTGAATCTCCAGCTTTGTACTGCATGTAAAAAACATAAAGCAGATGAGAACTTAAAGCCACACGAAATGCTCATAGCACATAGTATTAGGCATAATTAATTTAGAAAGAAAGCATACTTGAAGATAATACAGAATGAAACAAATGTACAATGTAAATCTGCAAAACATTAGTGATTGGGGGTTGATGATGGCTAACGCTAAGGTACATTATGGAGAGAAGAAAAAAGCCATGGGATCTCTTTCGTCATTACTCAGTCCTAAGTTACGAAAGCATTTTCTTAATTTTCATATAAGCACTCAAGTTTGATCAACTAAAATATTCCAGTCATTAATACTCCAGTCAAGTAAGTCCTCCTATATAAGACAGTATATGTATCAATTATTAATCGAATAATAAGAGATTAGTTTATTGATCTATTATCTATCTCATTCCTTCTCCCTAACATATGTTCTACTCCCAATCCCCTTTACCGTGCCATCCGTCCATCTTCATGGCAGTAGCTACATATGTTGTTCCAGGCTACATATCAATGAGGCATGGACTAACATTTTCACATACATGTGGGCCATTAGGCTAAATGTCAGACTATCAGTGAGGCATGGAGTAGTATTTTGACAAATGCCAATCTCAGTGGTGGCAAGCTATTTCCAAATCAATCTATATCAAGAAACCAATATAGAACTTCTCTCTAAAATAAATATATAACCGTCAGCAGTGCAATTGACTTTCTTTAATGTTCAAATATGATCGCAAGGACAGAGCACATGAGTTGCAGCATCACGCAGGATCAAGACCATTGGCAAGGAATTATTATCCTAGTTGCATGGACAACTGAATGTCTCATACTCCCATTTATTTCACCATATTGAAGATCGCGATGACAGACGCATGAAAGCTAGAATGCAAAATATTATCCTACTAAAAGTTATTTGACAATTTTCATGATTAACTAAATCAAATCAATTCATATTGATCACAAGGAAACAAATGAACAGAAAAAAAGATGCACGCATAGATTTGACAAGAGAGTACGCTCTTGCTGCTCACTCCTCGGATTATAGCCTGCTATTTTCAACCACCAAGTGCACGCAAAACAAGTTATAGAACATTTTGTATGCAAGACAAGACCAAACTGTCAGCACCTCTGTATGAAACAAACAGTAACAATATCCTGAATCTAAGAAGTAGAAACTACAATGCAACCTTCACTACACCCTACAGGAACATACACTGCAGCTTCGAAGTACCTGGATGTAAGCGAATTTCCTCCGATCAACATCAAGTTATTATATATCTAAGTTCAGGGTATCAGGCACCACCACTGGTACCATTCCGATCAGGTCCCGCACAGATCGGACTCATTTGGAACACTAACCCTGTAGCACTTAACATTGTTTCCACCACCGTAAGCTAAGCTATGATGAATCATCCGAAGATTTAAAACCTCCTCCCTCGTTGAAAACCAAGATTCTCGCGTCACATCAGCCACAACCTCCTGACAACCGAACTGCACTAAGAGCTCTAGGAACTAAAACCTCAGGACGCGAGAGCTGGAGAGACCAGCGCGAGATCGCGCCGATGGGCGATCAGATCTGACGCCACGGAATGGGAGCAGCTATAGCGATCAAACTGAGGGGGCCAACAAAAGGTTTTAGATCCAAGGGAAGATAAGGCGGGGCGAGGCGGGGCTGAGCAGCGCACCTTGTGGTCAGACTCTGAGGCGGACGCGCGGAGCGGAGAAGCGAAGGCAAGGACGGCGGTGAGCGAGAGGAGGAGGACGAAGCGTCTGCGGCCGCCGCCGCGGGAGGAGGGGAGCATTCCGCCGGCGAGATCTGAGGATGAAGAGGAGGCGGTCGCGAGCCTTCGGTCGGGTTGGCCCGAGAGAGCTGCCGCCTCGCGATTTCACTGCGGTTTTGGACGGTCTCTGATCTACCTATGGGATCTATTGGCGTTGACTCTTTGATAAACAAATGGGCAGAACAGGCAAATTCAGTGATTCTGTGCCTTCCTTAAAAAAAAGTGATTCTATACAAAAGAAGTTCTCCTTTCGAGAAATTACTAGCGAGTTAGAATTAATAGTACCTCGTCCGTTTCAAAATAAGTGGTTTCGAGTACATGAAACATAAGAATTTTGTTGATTCATTAATAGTTTGATATCCTGAACTAAGAAGCCATATTGTGATTCGCCCTTCTCTTTCCTGCTCACAAGATCGTCACCCTTCAAGAAATTGAATATGGCTCCATTGCAAATCAAGTGGTAGCCCCTCGCTAATTACTAACAGATCCTCTTTAAGAGTATTATGTCAGTAAAACAATTAACGGCAAGAGGTGAAAATTATGTCACTCATGTGATCACTCATTATCATACCCGAGCTTGTTTGCTCTGGCGGCACGGGGGAAACCCTAGCCGCACCGCCAGGGACTACTGTGGTGCTAAAACCGACGGATCTCAGGTAGGGGTCCCAAGCTGGCGATCTGAGCAGATGGTAACACGGGAAAGTAGGGATACGGTGTTTTACCCAAGTTTGGACCCTCTCGAGGAGGTAAACACATATGTCATGCTTTTGATATATTGATTGTGATGGAGTACTGAGTACAATATGATCTGCCTCAAGATCATATGAACGAGTTATAAGCTCTAAACCTCTCAGAAGCCTCTCCTCTATGGACTAAATCCTACGGCTTATATAGGCACCGGGGGTATCTAGGGTTTAAACATGGGCGGTTACAATCTAGGTTAAGCATGTTGATCATTTAATACGCCTTGAAGTGTACGCCAAGTCTTCGGAGATCTTCATCTTGATTACGCCGAGGGCCAGGGCATGTGTGGCCCATTCATCAGTCATTGGTGGGTCCTCGGTCTGACCCGTAAGTGGCGGGCCGACGTGGTAAGCACCCCCTAGTCTAGGACACCGTCGGTAGCCCTTGAACAAGTCTTCAAGCCGAGGGTATATGGCATCTTCTTCGGGGTGATTTATAATTTCAAGTCTTCGGCTTCGTAGACGAGTTCCATCCTCCACGTCGGATCCCGATTCCGAGGATATGCTCGGCTCCGAGGTCTTCTTGGCCCTTCCGAATGCGACCATGTGTTTTTCATGATAATCTTCGCCAGATAACAAGGGGTGTATTTTAACAAGACCCCTTCCCTCTCAGCAATATTTTTTTAGCAGGGATGAGGTATTCTTTTAACTTAGCCATGAAGGCTTGCCACGAGAGGCGGGTCAAACCCTAACAGCTTTTTCGGCCGAGAACCGAAGCGTCATCTCCCGTGGCAGGGTCAAGCCGCCTTATGATAACCCACAAGTATAGGGATTCGTTTGTAGCCTTTTTCAATAAGAGTGTCGAACCCAACGAGGAGTTAAAGGTAGAATTTATATTCCCTTCAAGTCCTATCGACCACCGATACAACTCTACACACACCAACATTTGCTTTACATAAAAACAAGTAATAAACTACTTTGTAGGTGTAATATGATAAGTTTGCAAGATAATAAAGAACGTGAAAATAAAAGTTATGTGATGTTTTAATAAAATAACGATTAAGTTAGTACAGCGAGTGTGGAAAAGTGGTGGTAGGATTTTCTGAAATTGTCCTAGGCAATTGATAACAAGAACGGTAATCATTATTGCAATTTTATATGAGGGAGAGCATGAGCTAACATACTTTCCATACATGGATCATGTGCAATTATCATTGGAGCTCTAGCAAGCATCCCGCAACTAGTAATGATCATTAAGGTAAAACTCAACCATAGTTGTGTAAAGTCCCCTTTAATCCCATACGCAACAACCCACTTACCCGAGTTTGTGTTCATGTCGCTCACGCAACTCAGTTAGTAAGTAAATCATGAACATATTGCAACACCCTACAAAGGAAATCCTCCACGTATGCGCGGCATGGAAGGCACCATAGGACAGCACCAAAATAAAACATGCAACTCAAACCAATCAAGATCATCAATCAACCCATAGGACAGAAATAATCTACTCAAACATCATAGGATGGATGCACATCATTGGATAATAATATATAACAAAAAGCACCATTTTCAAGTAGGGGGTGCAGCGGGTTGCAGGAGAGTGGACCGATGAGTATAGATGAGGGAAGGTGATGGTGATGACGGCAGCGAAGTTGTTGATGAAGATCGCCGTCATGATGGTTCCCCAGTGGTGCTCCGGCTCCACCGGAAGAGAGGGAGAGCCCCCCTCCTTCTCCTTCTTGCTTGGCCTTCTCCCTAGATTGGAGAAGGATTCCGCTCTGGTCCTTGGTCGCCATGGCCCCGGAAGGGCGGGAGCCCCCTAGATTTGATCTCTCTCTCTCCCTCCCCCCCCCCTCTCTCTCTCTCTTTGCTTCTCTGTTTTGCGTCTATGTTTCCTGGCCGAACACCGTTTCTTAAATATCCGAAGATCCATAACTCAAATCGGGCTGAAAATTTAACACAATTTTTTTCCGGATATTAACTTCCTTGCGCCCGAAAGATAGCCCCAATCGACCTCCTAGGAGGCCACAAGCTTGCCTGGCAAGCCCCAGGGTAGGGACGCACCCCTTGAGCTTGTGGGTCCTGTGGGGCCCCCTTCTTGATTCTGGCGCCAAAAAATCTCATATATTCCATAAAAATCACTGTAACTTTTTATCATGTTTGGACTTTGTTTGATATGGATTTTCTGCAAAATACAAAAACTTGCAAACAAACAGGAACTAGCGTTGGGCACTAGATTAGTATGTTAGTACCAAAAATAATATAAAGTGTTGCCAAAAGTATGTGAAAGTTGTAAAATAATGACATGAAACAATAAAAATTATAGATACAGCGAAGACATATCAACATCCCCAAGCTTAATTCTTGCTCATCCTCGAGTAGGTAAATGATAAAAGAAGATATTTTTTATGTGGAATGCTACCTAGCACAATCTTGATCAAGTAATATAATCATGGCATGAATATTAAGATACGAATGATTCAGGGCAATAGTTTATCATTTGATATAAAGACATCAATACTCGGGCATACTAACAAACAATCATGCCCTTCGAAATAAGAATGCTAAAGAATGTTATCCCTACACAATCATATAGCTTAGCATGCTTAGTCTTCCTAGCATAAACTATAAATCATGAGCACCACCGTGCCAAATCAAGCAATTATATCATACTTTTTCTCGCTTCAGCTTTTCAATGTCACTCAATACATGACCGTGAGTCATGAATTTAGCACTACGGGTGGCAAAGAGGTATATACGGGAAGACAAAAGTTTGAGAAAGTCTCGCATCGACTCGGCGGATTGTTAGGCAATGGAGAGGCCTTACATTCGATATTAATGCGAGGAGTAGGGATGGTCATGCAACGGATGCACTAGAGCTATAAGTGTATGAAAGCTCTCTATATGAAACTAAGTGGGTGTGCATCCAACTTGCTTGCTCATGAAGACCTCGAGCATTTGACGAAGCTCGTTGATAACCCACAAGTATAGGGGATCGCAACAGTCTTCAAGGGTAGTATTTCACCCAAATTTATTGATTCGACACAAGGGGAGCCAAAGAATATTTACGAGCCTTAGCAATTGAGTTGTCAATTCAACCACGCCTGGGAAATTATATTTCTGCAGCAAAGTGTTTAGTGTCACAGTAATAATAGTAACAGGAACAGTAGCAGTAGCAGTTTGTAGTGATTGTAACAGTAGCGGCAACAAAAGTAACTTAGCGCGAACCAATATGAGAAAAAGCGTAGGCATTGGATCAGTGATGGATATTTGTGTTGGATGACATTCATCATATAACAGTCAGAACATAGAACGATACACAATAGCTCCAATTCATCTAAATGTAGGCATGTATTCCGTATATAGTCATATGTGCTTGCAACAAGAACTTGCATGACATCTTTTGTCCTACCCTCCCATGGCAGCGGGGTCCATAAGGAAATTTAAGGGATATTAAGAACTCCTTTTAATAGAGAACTGGAACAAAGTATTAACATATAGTGAATACATGAACTCCCCATACTACGGTAATCACCGGAAAGAATCCCGATTATTATCATCTTGGGGTATGCGGATCTAACACGTAATAGGTGCATACAACTTGCAAGATAGGATCGAGAACTCAAATATATTCATGAAAACATAAAGGGTTCAGATCTGAAATCATGGCACTCGGGCACTAGTGACAAGCATTAAGCATAGCAAAGTTATAGCAACATCAATCTCAGAACATAGTGGATACTAGGGATCAAGCCCTAACAAATTGACTCGATTACATGACAAATCTCATCCAACTCCATCACCGTCCAGCAAGCCTACGAAGGAATTACTCACTCCGGTGGTAAGCATCATGTAATTGTTGATGGACAAGGGTTGATGATGATGATGGCGACGAATTCCACCCTCCGGATCCCCGAACAGATTCCAGATCAGCCTTCCCGCCGAAGAACATGAGGTGCCGGCGACTTCGTATCGTAAAACCTGATGATTACTTCTCTCCGATTTTTTTTCCTCTGCAAGACGGTACTTATGGAGTTCGACTTAGGGTTGTCGAAGGCTCCAGGGGCCCACAAGCTCACCAAGCGTGCCCCTGAGCTTGTGGCTCATGGGTTTCCCCCTCCAGTAGGTCTCTTCGCCAATATTTTTCATATATTCTGAAAATAATCTCTGTAAATTTTCAGCCCAATCCGAGAACTTTTATTTCTGCACAAAAATAACACCATGGCAAACAGCGTAAGTCTGGGTTAGTTCCATTGAAATCATGTAAAGTAGAGTCCAAAATAAGACCAAAAGTGTTTGGAAAAGTGGATACGTTTGGGACATATCAACTCCCCCAAG